GCTGAGGCAGGAGAATCGCTTGAACCCAGGAGGCGAAGGTTGCAGTGAGCTGAGATTGCGCCATTGCATTCCAGCCTGGGCAACAGAGCAAGTCTCTGTCTCTGAAAAAAATAAAACAACAACAACAAAAAAAAACCTGGAAATCAGTTGTTAACTCTACTAATGACTGAGAGAAGTGAGATTGTTTACTTTAAGCAGCAGTTTATGAGAGCTAAAATCTACCCCCTCCTCCTTCATGAGCAATACTTCAACTGAGTTATTGAACTGGAAATTAATTTGATACTAATTTGTTCTAAGCCCATACTTTAACGAGTTTATATTTCTGTGTATTTAATTTGAAAGTATATTTTATAACTAATCTATTAAATATAAATTGAAATTGAGTATAAATCAGCTTGAAATTTCAGAGGTCAGTAATTAAAATTATTGTCACCATTTGGTTTTCAATTTTTTAACCAGCATTTAGCTACTTAGAGCAGCATTTTATATTCCTCGAAAATGGGGGAAACTCTGTTATGTATGTGACCTCAGAGACCTGTGACAGTCTAAACCCAGTGATTCTGGTTACCCTAAGCAGCCAAAATCCTAACAGCAGCTGCCAACCTTTCACTTTCTGCATCATCTCCCACTTTGATGCCTGCCGTGTGCCCAGGGCTGAAATCCCTACCAATGAAGCCAGGCCTGGGAGGGTATTAAGATCCCCCTGATGCCCCAGAGCATTATGATCCAATTAAATGACCCCCTCATAGTCAGAGAATTATCATCATGCTTCCCCTGCATACCTAAGAGTTATCTAGAGGGAGAGGATCCTGGAGCCATCCAAAATATATGTCAGACAAAAGCCAAGGGGGTGAGCTGGCAGCCTCTCCGATGGCCTGGGTGGGAGCCTGATGCATCCTTTCCTAAACCACATGCTGATTGAAGATGGCAGCTTCTCTGGAGGAGGAACAGGGCACTGTGAGTGCTACGCTTATGCACCTGAATCTTCCAGCCCAGCAGAACTGACCCCACCCCTGAATGCCGCTTCCCCTCACAGTGCCTACTGTCTTTGCACATGCTTTCCCTCTGTAGGCAAGTCACCTCCTGCCATGGCCCCTGCACACTAGCCATTTCACTCTTCCATATCATATGAAGGATCTGAAAAGGTGCCCACCGTACTTTCATTGTTTGCATTTGATAAGATCCACAACATAGAAAAAAGATATGCTACAAACTGATGAACTGATCTGATGGTGTGGTAAAAGTGCCCGATGTAAGACCAACTTACAAAACTGAAAGGTTTCCTTTACATTAAAAATAAATATGTGTAATAAAAAAAGGAAAAAAAAGATCCTATTTATGATATCAGCAAATCTGTACAATATCTATGCATAAGCTTAATGACAATTTTCCAGTAGCCACATGGAAAAAAAACCTAAAACTAGACTGAGGGACATAAAAATGACCTTGTTAAAAGGAGACACCTGCCATGTACATGAATAAGAAAACTGTTTATTGTGAAAACGTAAGTTCTTCCCAAATTAACCTGTACTTCAATGTAATACAAACTGAGATCTCAATGGATTATTGTGCAGCTTAAAATTGGATTCCAGAATTCATCTGAAGAGAAAATAGGGAATGATAACCTAGAAACTTTTGAGAAAAGAACAGTACCAAAAGAAAACTTGATTTGGAGACAGTCACCAAGACAATTCAATAGAAAAAGGAGTAATTGTTTCAACAAATGGTTCCGGAACAACTGGCTGTCCACGTGCAGAAGAGCGAAGTTGGATTTCTACTCCAAGCTACGTACAAAAATTAATTCAAAGTGGTTAAAGGTCTTAATAGCTAAACCTATACAACTCTTAAAAAAGAGATGTGTAAATCTTCATGACCTTAGGTTAGGTAACAGTTTCTTAGATATGGCACGAAAAGCATAAGCCCCCAAAGAAAAAAATAAATAAGACCTCATCAAAATAAAAAACTCTGAGCTTCAAAAGATACAACCAAGAAAGTTAAGGGGCTGGTCCTGATGGCTCACGCCTGTACTCCCAGCGCTTTGGGAGGCCGAGGCAGGCAGATCACTTGAGGTCGGTAGTTCAAGACCTGCCTGGCCAATATGGTGAAACTTCATTGCTACAAAAATACAAAAATTAGCTGGGTATGATGGCATGTGCCTGTAATACCAGCTACTCCAGTGGCTAAGGCAGAAGAATTGCTTGAACCTGGGAGGCAGAGGTTGCAGTGAGCCGAGATCACACCACAACACTCTAGCGTAGGTGACAGAGTGAGACTCTCTCAGGAAGGGAGGAAGGGAAGGAGGAAGGGAAGGAGGGAGGGAAAGGAAGGAAGAGAGAAAAAGAAAGAGAGAGAAAGAGAATGAGAGAAAGAAAGAGGACAACCCACAAAATGGAAAATATCTGTAAATCATGTATCTAACAAGGGTCTAGTGCTGAGAATATATGAAGAACTCTTCTAACTCAACAATAAAAAGACCAAAATTCAATTTACAAATAAGCAGAGGATTTGAATAGACATTTATTCAAAAAAGGTGTAAAAATGGACAATAAGCACATGAAAAGATGCCCAACATCATCAGTGATTAAGAAAATTAAACCAAAACCACATTGAAATACCACTTTATATCCACTAGGTTGGCTATAATTGAAAAGATAAACAACAACAAGTGTTGGTAAGGATGTGGGGAAATTAGAGTCCTCATATAATGCTCACGGGAATGTAAAATGGTTCAGCTGCTTGGCAAAACAGTTTGGCAGTACTTTAAAAAGTTAAGCATTGAGTTTCCATATAACCAGCAACTTTACTTTTAGACCCATGTGTCTACTCACAGTACATACCCAAGAGAACTGAAAACATATCCTTACAAAAATGTGTACACATGTGTTCGTAGTAACATTACTCATAATAGTTGAAAAGTAGAAACAACTCATGTGCTCATCAACTGGATAAGCAAAATATATTTTCATACACACGACAGAAGGCGATTCAGCCATAAAAAAGGAATGACATTCTAATGCAGCCTCAGTATGAATGAACTTGAAAGCACCATGCTTAAGTGAAAGAAGCCAGTCACAAAAGGCATATATTGTACAATTCCATTTCTATAAAATAATAGAACAGGCAAATTCATAGAGATAGAAAGTAGGTTAATGGTTGCCAGAGGTGGAGGAGCAGGGAATGGGAAGTGACTACTGATGGATATGGGTTTTTTTCCTGAGGTGACAGGAATGTTTTAGAATCAATTAGTGGCGATGAGTATATAATATTGTGAATATACAAAAAAACTCATTGATTATATGCTTTTAAAATATTAGTTTTATGGTATATGAATTTAATCTTAATTTTATAGCACAGTGTACTCTATCTAATATCAATAGTCATTGGAACAGTGTGGAATTGGCACAGGAACAGACAAATGGATGCCTGTCTCAGTGGGCTAGCACAGAGAGTGTGGAAGTGGAGCCACAGACATATTGTGGGCCTTTGATATATGCCAAGGTAGCATGTCACATCAGTGAGAAAAAGAAAAAATGGCAGCAAAGCACAGCTGGCTCTCATTTGTAGGGGAAAGTTAGCATTGAACCTCACACTCCCACAAAAATTAATTCTAGGTAGGTAAGAGCTAATTACAAGACTATAAAAATAGAAGAAAATAAAGAAGGACGTATTTGTGACCTTGAAAAAGCCATCTTGAGCTACACAAAAAATAGAAAAATGCATTTAAATTCATATAAATTGGAAACTGAACAAAAAATATCATAAGCAAAGTTGAAAGACATTTCCCATATAATAACAGGCAGAATATTAATATCCTGAGTATATAAAGACAAAGCCCAACAGAATAATGCATGTCCCTGTGGCTCCTTAACCCCATCACCCTCCTTTCATTGCCTTTTAGGTGACCCCAGAATTTTGTCATGTATGTTGAGACCAAGAGACCATCTTAGCCCCTTTTCCATGGTGGTGTCTAGTTTCCTTCATTACTCAATTGCATCTAGTGCTTTTTCTTAGCAAAGTCAAGATGGCTTTTGCTGGGCAGAACAATTGGACACCAAGCTCTGCCCTGGACAAAGTGCATGACGTTGTCAGGCAGGAAGGAGCCAGGCACTGAGGAGGTTGCAGTAGGGACGGGCTGAAACCCGAGCTGTTCTTTCCCCTGAGAAGATACATGTACCTTTCTCTGCAGGGACCTGCACCCAGCTGGCATCTAGAGGACCTGGGTGAGGAGAACTGGGTATACTCAAGCCACTTCTTGCCAGTCTGCCACTTAATTGGGGCTGCAGCATAACCTTTGCTCAATGATAAAAATTAACCTTGATTCCAGACTGATACCTATCTTCACTAAGGAAGTGTCTGTGCTGTGTTTCCTTTTTTTAAGCTGTGACATTATCAAAGAATAGAATATTGCAGGCATGGCACACGGGAACTTCTGTCTTAGACTTAGAAGACCTTCCTATTTTTCTTTCCTGCTGAGATAGACTTTCAGCTCTCAACTGGGTAATTCAGTGAGGGTCCCTCCTTCCTCCTTCACCCCCACTTCCTCTCATCTGCTTTCCTGTTTTCGTAAGCCACAGATTTAGGCCTTGTTTTATTACATTTCACAGTGTGCTTAAATACCCCCTATAGCTCTTCATCTCATTATGAAAAACAATTTACATGAGGGAAAAATGGCAATGTCAACGTGATTTGTTCTGCTGCTAGATTTTGTAAAACATTTTGTATCAGAACTCTCCTGTAGGGTGTCAGAGAGACAAGAGTGAAACTAGGGTTCATTTAAAGACCCCTACTGGTAATCTCTAAGTAAGTCAGATATTCCCTTCATAGATCCAGGCTGGGTCACTTTGGGCTTCGCATTAAATAGTAAGGTGGTAGAACAACATTTTATGCAAAAGAAAAGTGTATAGCTAAAAACAAGTGGGGAGGATTAGAGGCAGTTGATTTATTAGACGTGGGCAAAAATATGTTATAACTGAACTGGATTCTCCCCTCCTCCCCTTTAGGATCACTGTTACTACCATGGACATGTGCGGGGATATTCGGACTCGGTGGTCAGTCTCAGCACCTGTTCTGGTCTCAGGTAAGTGATCACGATCATGGTGGCTCTAGCCTTCATCCATCTACTCCGGTAACGCCTGTCTTTTCCCGCTCGTGCTAAAGTACTGAGAATGAGAATGAGCGATGGGCACTCCCAGCTCAGCTGCACCTCCACCTGGGCAAGAGGGCACACAGGCCCTCACTCCAGTGCTTACAAGAGCATAGCCACCCAGGATCGTAGCCTCACGTTCATGACCCCTCTTTCAGTGCTGTTCTCAGGCCTGGTGGGGTGAGAGGGACTGAACAGCTGAGTTTCAACATCCAAGCATTTTGTGAATTATTTTCGAGACAGAGTTGCACTCTGTCGCCCAGGCTGGAGTGCAGTGGCGCAGTCTCAGCTCAGTGCAACCTCCGTCTCCTGAGTTCAAGCGATTCTCCTGCCTCAGCCTCCAGAGTTGCTGAGACTGCAGGTGCGCGCCACCATGCCCAGCTAGTTTTCTTCTATATTTTTGGTAGAGACTTGGTTTCACCGTGTTGGCCACTCTAGTCTCAATTGCCTGACCTCATGATCTGCCTCCCAAAGGGCTGGGATTACAGACATGAGCCACTGAGCCCAGCTGAATTATTTTCCATTTATGCGGCTCTGATGTTTTATAATTCCCAGTGCTGAAAGATAGAACGTTACATACTAATATTGAAGCTGCTAGCTTAATATAAATATTAAAGGGCCTTCTCTCATTAGGAAACAAAGTAAAGAAAGTAATTTAACAACCACCAAGGTGAGTTGAATATAGGCATGGATTGGCAGGGGGGTTGCCACTATGCTATGGGCACGATGCAGGAAGCAATTACCTTCCCTTGCTAGAGAAGTCAACCCCAGGTGTTACTCACAGCCCCTTCCTTCCGCATCAGAGTAATTAGCCATTGGCTAGCTCTTATGTGCTTCCCAGGAAGATCATTTTGTTTGATAAACTTCCAGCTGCTTCAGACTTTTTACTGGATTTACTTATTGAGTTTCTGAACTAAGTATATCCTCGGAGTCCTGGGTAACTTTGACCCATGGCACCAAAGCATGGTTCCATGGGAGGGAAGAGAGAGAAGGCCTGGAAAAATATACCTGCTTGAGTTAAAAGGCAGAATCACGTTCTGTGCATTAGCAGTTCCTGCGACATCTTTGCGGGTTCTGTGTGGGATCATGGAGGATGAGAATGCATGCAACACAACACACACACAACAGCAACACACCTACCAGTTTGTTTTTCACGGCCCTCTCTTCTGCTCCAGGAGCAGACAATGGGAACATGATAGGGTGGTGAATTAGCTGTGTGACAACGCATAGGTCACCGGGCCTCTCTGAGCCCCAGGTTGCATGGTGGGAAGTTTGCATGTTCAATGACAGCTCTCTTTGCTCGCAGCTTCCCCATTGCTCAGTACATCTATTTCTGAGTATTTACCAGCATTGGTCCTTTCACGTACTGACACCTAAAAATATGTACACAAAGCTATTCCTCTTCCTCCTCATCCTGTCCCAGTCTTACTCAGATCAAAATGCAAGCTGGGGATTCCCCTCCCAGCTTTCTCATCCCTGGTACATGTAAACACACAGTCAGAGGTTGGGGTGTGTATTTGTTTATAAACATAGAGTCATGTCATATACATCATTCTACAGCTTTCTTTTGTTACCCGACCCTATCTGTCTCTCCAGGTCAGCCGGTACAGACCCAGATCACTGAATGAGCACACACACTCACATTTCTGCACACCTGCATTATTTTTAAAAAGCATTTTTATATTCTATTTATACAACACAATTGAACTTTAAGATATCTGCTACTCTGAAAAGTGAAGGAGGTGACTTGTGGTTTGACTTTATTTCTCTCCAGCTATTCATTCATTCCCAAAACATTCCTTGAGTGCTTCCTCATTGCCAATTCCAGGTTCTGGGGGCACAGCACTGAAAAAAAAAAAGTTCTTCCTGGAGCACTTACTAGTGGCAGGGACAGACAGAGGGCATAGTAAGATACACGACGCCAAGGATCATGGGAAGACAAAGCTGAGACGGAGGACAGGAAAGGCAGTGGGTAGTCAGGGAGGCTCTGGAGGAGGTGAGGTGAGTCTTTTAGATGATGTAGACAGCATGTCAGAGAGAAGAGCATGTGCAAACTCCTGAAGCAGAAGGATGCCTGGGATATTCCTAAAGCAGCAAGGTGACCGGAGTGGACAGGGACAGAGAGGCAGTGCGAAGAAATGAGGTCAGAAGGGAAGTGGAAAGGCAGGATCACCAGGAGTCACGAAGGTGATCAGATGTCCTTTGGCCTCCCCCCACCTTCACCTCAGATGCTACGTGTTCTCACCTGAGAACATGATAGGGTGGTGAATTAGCTGTGTGACAACGCATAGGTCACTGGGCCTCTCTGAGCCCCAGGTTGCATGGTGGGAAGTTTGCATGTTCAAACAAAGTTTGAGTTTGTTTCTCCCCGAGATGGGTGCCAGGGGAGAAACAATAAACAAATGCAGTGACCTCTAGGGAAGCCAAGCCCTGTGCCCACCTCCAGGGAGCATCTTGAGACAGTCTTTGTTCTTTGATTCTCAGACTGGACTAGTCATCAAAGTGTGTTCATGCAGCACTCTTGGGAAAATGCCTTGCAAAGCTATGCTGCTCCTGTAGGGACCAGGGCAGACACACACAAGGCCCTGGCAGTAAAGACCACGCACGCTTGGGAAGGGAAATCCACACTTGACTATTGTGCCTCTCTGGGGCCTGAAAGGGGGACCTCTTAGTTCAAAGATCATGCATTGAAGGCTGGGTATTTTCAGCCTTCAATTTGGCCTTAAGGCCAATGTATGTAAAAAAAGAGAAAAGCTAATTCAAACTGACTTAAAGAAAACCAAAGTAACATGGAGATAGCCTTGTGCTACTGAAAAGGCCAGGCTGGATCCAGAGTCCTAACTAATATGATCAGGGTCTATTTTCTATCTCAAGCCTCTACCTTCTTCTGTGTTAGTTTCATTCTCAGGCACTATCTTAGCATGGGCTGCAAAAACAAAATACCATAGACTGGTTGGCTTAAACCTTAAAAATTTATTTCTCACCGTTATTAAGCCCGGAAAGTCCAAGATCAATGTGCTGACAAGATAGATTTCCTCCTGAGGCCTCTTTTCTTGGCTTCTTGGCAGTCATTAGCTTGCTGTGTGCTCACATGACCTCTCTTTGTGCATGCACTGAGGGAGGAAGCTCTGGTGTCCTTTATACAGGCACAGATCCCATCATGGGGCTTCCCTCATGATCTCATCTAAGCCTAATCAGCTCCCAAAGGCCTCATCTCCTGATACCACCACGTGGGGCTATGGCTCTAACGTATGAAAATGCAGGGTGCATAAACATTCAGTCCATCATAGGCAGTTTCTGTTTTGTTTTGTTGGTGACAAAGGGATTGCTGGCAGCATGAGGTTTCCATGCTCCAAAAGCAAGTTGAAGAATGAGGGTCTCTCTTCCAAGCTCAGTGGAGGTCATCTAAACACATCTCAGTGGCTCTGCCTGGGCCACTTGCTCATCTGTGTAACAATCACAGTGGCCAGTGTGGAGCTCAGTGGCCTGGTCAAACAGGTTATGGGCCTATACCCTGGACCAGGTTGAAGGAAAACTTCACCCAGGGCCCCTGAGGCAGGGAGCAGGGAAGGGGTGAATGTACCGAAGAAATTCAGTGAGCTTTTGCCAGAAAAAAAAAAAAAAGACAGCTGAGAGCCAGGGACAGTCAGAAACAAATAGGCCTCTTCCAGCAACAATTATGAAGAAATTTTAAGTCATTGACGACTGAGGTCAGCCATCAATGGAAACATCCAGGATTGGCTGGATAATTGTTGGGTTATCTTTATAGGGCTAACAAATTCTTGACAGGCAAAGAGAAAAGGGTTATCTCCCAGGTGTTCCTAATAGCTCCTATTAACCTTAATAAAACAACTTATAAAGCGGTGACTTTAACTCATTAGAGCAACAACTGAGGAAGTATTCCTGGAGTAATATCCAAGCAAAACAAATCCTCCCACAGGGCTTGGCCTTGCCACCCGGTCACGACCCTCCATCCCTCTTTCCAGGCCGGCCTTGCTGTCACTCTGTGCCAGGCACGCTGCCTTAGCTCTTTCAGCCTCCCACAAAGTGCGGGCAGCTGTCAGGGTGCCAGTTCCTTCCGCATGGCGGCAATGACCTCACTGGCCAGACTCTGTCATGTCTGAGTCTTCACGTTCACCTCCCATCCCCAGGAGCAGGCACAGACCCATCATTTGGCAGAAGAGAATATTGTGAAATCGTAGCATCTGGAATTTCAGAAAAAGTCAGAAGAGTAAGTGCTGCATCGTCTGGTATCAACCACCAACAGGGAATGGGAACAGTGGCGAGGAACGCTGTGTGGGTCTAATGAACTCCTCGTTGCGGGAGCTCCTGAGAATTCTGACTTCCCAAATCTTTGTGCTGTTGTTACAAAAGCAGCAGACCGTGCATCAACAGAGAAATTCCGGAGCTGTGCAGTCAACTTTATGATCTTTCAAGTCAAGAATCAGACCGGAGCAAGGGGAAGCTGTATTCGATCAACTGCTCACTGACAGAAGAATCGATTAAGACTGGAAATAAAGGGGAAGAACATGCACCTAGCGTAGCACCAGCCTGGTAGATGTTAAGAAAGAAAACAGGGATTAAACATTGTATTAAACATGGCGTGCTCCAAAAACACATTAAGATCCAGGAATGTGGAGGGAAGCTTGGGAGTCCTAGAAGACATATTAATTACAGCCCAGTAGATTCCAGTTTTGCAGAGAAAGAACATCCCACATTGCTTCAGAAACACGAGATCATCAGTGAGCAGCAGGGAACCCAACAAGTTGCTCTTCATCATTTGAAGCTTGAAGCGAAAAGGATACGGAGAGAAAAACTGCATAAAGATCTCAGTAGAAAGGAGCATTGAAGAGGAGACAGCTCTTGAATGGGGGGAATGAAGTGCAACATTGAAAATAGGTCATAAAAAGGAGCTCAGCCGTGGAGTTGATTCT